GGATGATTAAGTATATAAACTATTCTTGTGTTATCATGTGTGTGCACTGACTACAGAAACCAGAAGATGTTTGGATCCCCTGGATGTGGAGTTCAAGATACTTATGTAAGCCACCATGTGGATGCTAGAAATCAAACCTGGGTCCTCTGAAAGCAATCAGTGCTCTTAATCACTGAGCCCATCATCTCTGTGGGCCCTAATCTGTTTTTTAAAACTCCATATATTAGATTAAATAGTTTATCAATTTTCCGCTATTGTAATTTGTAAATACAATCTAGCTTCCTATATTTAATGTAATATACCTTAAATATAAATTATTAGATAAACAACTTCCTCATATAAACTAGTATTTCTCAAACAACTTATTTCTATTAAAAAAAATCTTAGAAATTGATTAAAACATACAAACAAAATTAAAAGCAATGAACATATAATCCTGAGTCCAGGATCTTAGCAGTCATGTTTAGACACGTCAAGGAAAGAAGCAAACTGACTTTCTTCTGTTGCAATGACTTCCTTGCAATGTCACTGGAACACATAATCTCATTCCTGCTTCTATGCCTTTTCTTAAGCAATTCCTCCCACCCAAAACTCCTTTCCTTGATTCACTCTTATCTACACTTTGCTGGTTTTTTTCTAAGCCTTTCAGTCTAGCTGAATTTGCATTTCTTCCATGAACTATTATCCATGAATCTTTCCCTAAAATCTTCAGTTGTTATAGAAATCCTACTAGACAAGTTAATCAAATACAGCAGTCTATTTATTTTGCTTATGACCATTTAATCATTTTCATTTCTACTGTCAACTTGTACTTAATAAAAATCACATCCTGTTTAAAATGTCACAGTCTTGGGTCAGTATTGTTTATGAGGTTGGCCCTATAAAGATAGTCAAGAATCAAAATACCTGTGCTTAAATCATAGTTCTATTATTTATTAGCAATATAAACTCAGGGCTGTTAACTTAACCTATTCTCCTTATGCCTCAATATCCTCATATGCATGAGAAAAAAAAATAAACATCTACCACAAAGTTGAGGTTGAAGTAAGTTAAATGTAAAGCAGTGGTTGGTTCTCAAACTTCCTGATGCCATGCTGACCCTTTAATGCAGTTCCTCATGTTATGGTGAGCCCCCATAATTAGCAATTATTTCATTGCTACTTCATGACTGTAATTTTACTATTTTATTACTGTTATGAATCATAATATAAATATCTGATATACAGGATATCTGATGTGCAACCCCCAAAGGGGTCATAACTCATAGGATGAAAATCACTGATATAAAGCATTTAGAAGAAAAAAATGAGACATAACGCACAGTTGTAATTTCTTTACTCCTGGCCCTTACTATACACATTGTCTCACATGTCTTAAATAGTGATTTTGACTGTTATGTGAACTCTATCACTTTGGCTTTTTTTTTTCTATACATGTCTTGGCAAGCACAGAACTCACCAACAAATAAGTCCATTCATAATCCTACCACATGGATACATTTACTTGCTCTGTGGCATTTCTGAGTCAACTGAAGAACTATTTGTTATCTGCTATACAATTTGAAGTTTATAGAGTCCACAAAGAAGTAAAAGATGATAGATACACAAAAGACAGGTAAGACAGATGTTAACATCACTATGAATTGTTAAGACTAGTAAACACCACATGTTGACAAAACGGCAACTCACCCTTCATGAATTAAAAAAAAAAAAAAATCACTTATGTATCCCTGGTAATGCCCACATTCAAGCCCATCCATGACTGCATCTTTCTTTTACTTGATAAACTTCAAGCTTGCTTCAAAAGCAAACCCCCAAGTTTCCATTTGCCTACATTTTGCCACATTTCTAAAATGCACATCTATTGAGCTGAATAATCAAAAAGTTTCAAATATCCAAGCATGGTGGCTCACACTTGTAATCCAAACACCTAAAGAAAAAGACTGACTCAAGTAGTCTCGGATGCACAATGAGAAAAGACCATGTCTCAAAATTACAAAACACATGCTTCAAGTGTGCATTACTTCTTCTAGCTTTTACTAGGCCCCCTATAATGGCAAATGTAGAATAGGTCACCAACAAAGTCAAACCAAAGGGCATACTACTCCAGTTTCCTACCTCCAAGGCAAAATGCCTATTGGGACAAAGTTACCAACTTTACTACCTTCTACTTTTAAATTATTTTTATATCTGCCATTGTATTAAACAATTTCTGGATTGGCATGTAGCTAAATTAGTAGAGTGCTTTCTTAGCCTGTACAAAGCCCTGATTTCGATCCTCAACACTCATAAACTGGATATAGTGGCAAAAGCCTGAATTCCCAGCATTTTGGATATATACTGAGTCTGGAGTAAGCTTGGCATACAGGAGATCCTGTCTAAAAATAAAAAGAAATCTTTCTAAGACTCCACAGCACAACAATCTTGGGTTCACTCTTTTCCCAACACCTTCCCTACTAAATACTGAGGCTTTAATAAAAGCCAAGCACAGGGTTCTAAGGGATTTGCATAATGATCTCAATCCCTAAAACAGTAACGAGCAGTGAACATGGCTCGGTGGTACAACAGGTGTTCAGTGCACACAAGGCCCAACATTTCTTTCCCATTACAAAAATAAAAAATTTAAGTAGATGATATTATCCACAGAAGAGAACTAAGGCTTATAGGTACTTAAAAACTGACCTTCCTGAAATAACATCTATAGGAGTGGATTCTTCCATTTTTACATAATTTTCAAGGAATACATATTAGGTCTGGGAGTTTGCTACCAGCCTACTGTGAGAGAGCTCTTGAAACCACAAATTTCATATACAAAGCAATAAATAGTACTTGGTCAAACTGGTTTGGTTTTTTTTGTTTGTTTGTTTGTTTGTTTTTTCTATCTCCCAGTATCTGGCAAAGAATGCATGCTCAATAAAAACCTGTCTGTCTAAGCCAATACTTTAAAATTAATTCCTAAAATATTTGATTACATGGGAAGACCTAACAGTTTGTTTAAACTAAATTAGGTGGTATAAAATCAATAATTACACAAAATACACCCTCAAGTCCTAGGTGCTATTTTAGCTGATAACACAAAAAGGAAAAAAGTAGAAGTAAACCAAGTCTACCCTTCAAAGAATTCTCCTTAACCCTCTCTGCATCTTGATTTTCTGAGAAGGGTTTCACTATATACCTCAGCTAGTGATCTTAAACTAATTAAGTAGCCCAGGCACATTACAGTTGTGTGTCACTGGCATACAGGAGATCTTGTCTAAAAATAAAAAGAAATCTTTCTAAGACTCCACAGCACAACAGTTTTGGGTTCACCCTTCCCCCAATAGTGTGCCAGGCACTATTTTTCAAACAAGAACTGTGGTTACAAAGCATGTACTGCAAGCAAATCTGTTGTCTGATTAGGCTAGACCTGTTTCCCAAGGACATAAGAAGCTAAAAATATAAAAGCTGGTTGTATTAAGACACTACTAGTCAATTAATGTTGGGATTCAATAAAGAACTCATTTGCAAAGAACCACAGGTCATCTATGAATGCATCCAAATGTTAGCTTTAAGAGGGTTAAAAAAAAGTTAACACACTTCAGTTCTCATCCTACACACAGAATAGTTTACAGGCATTATGCAAGCAGCACTTGGGATCTTTTCCTTCTTCAAAAACAAAAAAAGATACAGTTTATTTTGTAATTCCTTAATTCACTAGCTGCACTGCACAAGTATTACTTTCTTCCTCTAAAGGCTCAAGTTTCTTTCATTTCAAAACATCAGTCTTGAAGACAAATTCTCCTCAAAAAAAAAAAAAAAAAAAAAAAAAAAGACTTAATCATGTCAACTCAGAAAGGGGGCTAAAAGTCAGAAGACAAAAATTAGAGACAGCCCTATTAGTCTTATGTAACTTACTTTAAGTTGGAATTAAGTCAATAGTCCAACCAAAACCATGGTTTTAGGCCCAAAGATGAGCTCTTTAAAATATTCTCCATACAAACAATTTTTTAAAAAACTAAAAGGATTTTTTTTTTTTAATATAAGCAGTTATTGAGGTGAGGTGCCAAGGTAAACAAGCTCCAATGGATTAAAACTTAAAAGCAAGGCCAGGCATGGTGACTTTTAATCCTAGGACTTGGGAGGCAGAGGCAGGCAAACCTCCTAGTTTGAGGCCAACCTGGTATATAGAATGAGTTCCAGGCCAGCTGGGGCTGAGGGAGAAGAGAGAGAGAAAAAGAGACCCACGAATTACTATTTTAAGTAATATTAAATTGATAATATCAGATAATTTAAGAAAAAATAGCTAATTTATTAATACTAATTTTTGCATATCATCGTGTAACCACACATTATCTACCGAAGAAATTAAAAGCTAACTATCAAAAGCAATAGATTTCAGTTCATCCAACCTGTAAACAGAACTCTGAAAATGTAGCTAATTATTCCAATCTAATTAAATTGCCTTTAATTTTTACAAATTATTTTATCAGGTACAAATAAGTATCAAATCTTACAAAAACAAAGTTTACACAGAAATTATCCTACCAGACAGGCCTGGAATTTAATTCAATTACAAGCTGTGTGTTAACTACTTTCACCACGGTGGTACTTGAGCCTGGATGTAATCCTAGCCACAGATTCCGGTACTGCTTTGGGAACTGCTGTTTGCTTCATCAAGCCCTGAACTGCACCCACACCTTTCTAAAAGGCCGAAAGCAAGGGGTCAAGTTTCACTATCTACTTTTCCTAAACGAATTAGGGTTTGGGATTTCACTGGGAATGACCAAGTTATCAAGGGGCCATCGCCCTACTGAGACATTTAATAACAATACCTTCTCTGTTTTTCATTCAACCACTCTGATTAAATTTCCACTAGAATTCAGACACACGAAAAGCTGATTCCACGGCTTCGAAGAAAAGGGTCCTCTGGGAGTAAACCCAGAGATCGCGCATACCTCATACCTCTTGGAGAAGGCAGGGAGAAAGAAAAGTAAGGATTGTAAAACACTGTAGGGACATTACCTTGCTCGTCTTGTGATCGAACCAGACGAGAGCATGGTTCCTTGACAGCACTTTGCAATCAAAGGTGGCATTATTCTGCGCTGGTCGACAGCGTGCCACCGAGCGGCCGATCTTGATGGGCTCGTCCAGGTAGACATGACGCTCCTGAAACGGGTGCGAGTTCGGGCGGCAAGTGAAGATGGCCAAGGCTGACGGCATCGAGGACAGGCTTGGGGTGGGGCGTCTCTATCGGGGACAATGAGGAGCTCCTCCAGGTTCGGAATGCTCTTCACAAGCCTATACCCCTATCCCCCCAAAATTTTTAAATTAAAACAGACTGCGCATTGTCTAAGCATAACCAGTGAACATCAACAACTCTTCACTTGGGCAGGAAGACAAGCCAGCGCAAGCCCCATCGCCTCCTTTAAAACGCAGAGGTTCCTTGACCAAAAAATGTCCCCAGCCAGCAGCTTTCAGTCCATCTTCCCTAAGAAGAAGAAGCTCAAACATTGGGCAGCTTCGGCCGACAAAACTCCTGGAAGACAGTTTAGGAACGGGAGGTATCCGGGAGGATGAGTCACACAGCGATTCCTGGGTTTTGTCGGAGACCCCGGCCGCTTCTCCCTTTCGGTAGCGGAAACGCTGCAGCACTGCAGCATGTAGAGGGCCGGCTGGGTGCAGCCAGCAAGGTGCTCCGGGCGGCCACCGCCGGTCCTCGGGGCTCTCGGCGGCGCGGGGAAGCGCGGGGGTCTACGAGGCGGACTAGGGAGCCAGCATGGCCCCTGCCGCGCCGAGGCCGCCCGGGAGTGGCAGCGGTCCCTGCCCCAGCGTGAGCCGAGCCTGTGAGGACAGGCTGCAGGCGTGGGAGCGCGTTCGGGACACGGGCGGCCGCCGAGGCCCGGGTCCCGGACACCCGGCGGCTGTCCCCGCGACCAGGGCGGGGAGCCGGCTCCGCGAGCCGGAGCGCACAGAGCGGGGCGCCACCCCAGGGAGGCTCGGGCGCCCGGGCCGGCGGGAAGTGGGTTCCGGAGCCCTGGGCTCCGCCGCTCAGCACATGGGTCAGCGCCACTCAGTACCGCGCTCGCGAGGGTTGCATCTCAGGCTCCGGCGGCTCCTGGAGGGCGGCGGTGCGGGTGGGGGAGGGAGGGACAGACGGACGGACAGAGCTGGCCGGGAGGCAGACACACAGGCCTGGAGGCCGGGGCCGGGTCCGCCGCAGCCTCCTCCACTCGCAGCCAGCGCGGCACGCTCAGGCGCGGGCCAACGACACACGAAACTTTCCGACCTGCTGGGGGAGACACCAAAACAGACAGCAGTCAGCAGCCCGAGCCCGCTTGCCCCAGCCCTCCAGCCCTCAGCCAGCCCCGCCGGCCCCGGCCGCGGGCTACGGCCTCGGGCGACCTCTTCTCAGGCAGGCTACAGGGACCCGCAGCCAGCACGGCACGCCCCAGCCGCCCCACTTGGCCACACCGCCCGCCCCGCTTACCCACACCGCCGCCGCCGCCTCGACTTACCTTGCCAGCGCCGGCCGCCATAGTGACTCTGACTGAAATCTACCCGGTGCACCGCCGCGGGAACGCGCACCCTTTTCAAGGGCCCTCCTCCGCCGTCTCCCGTGCCGTAGCTCGGCGATATCACGTGAGCGACGCTCTGGAAGCCATGTTTGTCGCTGGCAGAGAAGTGGGCAAACTCGTTGATAACGTGCCTCCGGGCGACATCTTGGTTAAGGGCCACAAGCTTCAAACCTTTGGACAACCTAAACGACCATTTTGGTAAAGGGCAAGAGAAACTTTAAGGGGTTGATGTTTCAAGAACACACAGCGGCAACTTCCTGGTTCAACTTACGAGTAAGAAAGTACTAACTTTTATCGAATTTATTCACTGTAGTTCTCACTGACAAATGCTAACGCCTAAGTAGGGTAGATCCAGACAAAATCAAGACTCATTAGCAGCCATTGTAGCTGTGGGCAACTGAGTCACTCACTGTTGCCTTGCTAGTGACCAAAAAAATTCCACAAATCCCTGCATTTGGTAAGGCCACTGGGACTTTTCCTCGCTGTGCTAAATTCTCCGTGTTCTGTGTATTCCACTTCGAATTCCTGTCCTTCCCACTCGTGTGTTAGTGTTTCTCAGGACTCTTACGTGGACTCTAAGCTAGAAGTAGGAAGACCAGGAAGCTTTCGGTTTTTTGTTTTGTTTTGTTGGGGACCGGATATGGGGGAACTGTGAGTTAGAGACAGGGTTTCTCGGTGTAGTCCTGATTGTCCTGGAATTCACTCCGTAGCCCAGGATGACTTCGAACTCAGAAATCCACCCGCTTCTATATCCTGAGTGCTGGGATTAAAGCCATGCGCCTTGAGACCCAAATGTTTTAAAACACATTTCCAAAGAGGGGTCGGAAGTTTCTAGTGAGAAAATATGGAGTGCTGCCCCACTAACAGTCCTGAAGTATGTGTTAAACCTGAGAATTGGGAGGAGAAAGACCAGTATATGAGGAATTATTGTTCTAAAGAAGAAGGGAAGAAAAAAAAATGTAGCCAGACCTTAATGAAACTGTAGACAATCTTAATCTTTTAGAATCGGTGTTAACTTCATTCTTCAGATTCCTGTGATCACAATCTTCCCTGTGAAACCTTGGACATGTCTTTAAACTTTTTTAGGACACTTTTTGTCTTCTATAACATAATGATAGTACATAACCCCCTTTTTGAGGGAGTTCATGGTATTAAACCAAATTGTCCAAAAGAGTATTCATTTCAGTATTTCTGTAGGGCTTTAAACCTATGCTGAGTCCAGGGTACACAGATGAACACAGCCTTAATCTCTGCCCTCTGGTTGTGTAATCAGTGTTGTGGCTTTGAGACTGAAGGAATAAAATAAAGTAACTTGACTTTAATATATTCAGGACTCTGCTAAAGGAAGTCAGGGACATCCTTCTGGGAGAAGTAACAAAAATTGAATGAAGGAAGATTGAAACACTACAATCAATATGGTATTTGCTGAATGGTTCACTAAGTTTCTAGGCTGTTTAGAACAGTACATCAGTGTGCCTGGAACAGTGGCTAAATAAATATTTAATGTATGAATGGAAATCACATACTGTTATTATTATAGTCAGACTTTCTTTGGGCTGTCAGCTCCCAAGAAATTACATGGAAACTTTTTATTAATTAGCCTAAGTTTAGGCTTTTTCCCAACTAGCTTTTTAAACCTTAATTAACCCATTTATATTAATCAACGTCCTATCACTTGGCTATCCCTGTCCTTAGAACCATATGCCCAACTTCCTCCACATCTGGCTGGAGAATCCCCCACCTTAGATCCCTTCCCAGAGTTCCTATCTCTGCTGAGAAGACCTACCTATCTTCTTCTGCCTAGCTATTGGCCATTCAGCTCTTTATTAAACCAGTGAGAAAGTGCCTTAGGCAAGTGAGGTAAAACAGAGATACATCACACAGCCTTCAAAAAGATTATACAAACAATTAGAGAATAAAATAGGGCCAGCACAAAGTCTCACTCTTGTGCTTGAAGTTTAAATTCATGGAAATATGAATGCCGAAGACCAGACCCTTCATGTAGCAGGATATCCTGGACCACCAGCCCCCAAATCATGACACTGAGACTTCTTATTAATTATGAATGATTGGCCTTAGCATAGACTTGTTTGTAGCTAGTTTTTGTTTGTTTGTTTTGTTTTGTTTTACTTAAATTAACCCACTTATGTTAATTTATGTGCTGCCTGGAGGCTTCTTTAGCTCATCTACCCACTGTCCATCCTGCTTCCCTTCTTCCTCTGTATCTGGCCAGCTGTCTGACTCCCCTTTTCTCTCTGCCTGCCAGCTCCACCTATCATTCCTCTGCCTAGCTATTGGACAGTCTTCTTTTTATTAGACCCATCAGATGCCTTAGGCAGGCAATATGAAACAGCAACACATCTTTACATAGTTAAACAGATGCAGCATAAACAAAAGCAACACTCTTTTACATAAACAATTATTCTGGAGCACAAACAAATGTAACACATCTTTACATAGATAAATATTCTATTCTATAACACTTCACACTTTTTTAGGGTTCTTCATTTCAACAAACATATTGAATATCTATAGTGCTATAAGTGTTTTGTTCTAGAGAATAAAGATATACTGGAAAATTTTATTTTCAGGATGAATTTTTCTTCTTCTGATAACTTTTAGCTTTAAACAATAAAGTAATCCATGTGTGGTAGAGCATGTCTTCAATACCAGCCCCCCAGGAGGCAGAGGAAAGTGGATCCCTGAGTTTGAGGTCAGCCTTAGCAAGTTCTAGGATAGCCAGGGCTATACAATAAGACCCTGTCTCATTAAGAAAGAAAAATTTCCACAAAGCTCTAATGAGTTGCATGCACGAATTTTAAAGTTATTTAATTATTTTGTTTTCTTTTTAATTTGTCCTACAAACATTTAATTGAATACCCCCTGGGAAACAGAAACTGTCAAATGCCCTGGAATTTCAAACGTGAAGAAGAAAATTAATCCCTACAGTTTCTTATAGTTTAGATGAAAGCACAATAAGATCCTTGCTATATTTGGAGCGACTCAAACGTAATGGGAGCATGAAAGAATAATTTAAACCAGAACTTTAAACATGAGTAGGAGCTGGGGATGTAGGCCAGGAGCAGAATGATAACCTCCCATTTGCATGGCCTTGGGTCCACCCTAGGACCACGAGTGCTGTGAGATATTTGTAGACTGTGTGAAGGTACATTGCTATGTTTGGTTTAATAAAGAGTTGAATGGCCAATAGCTACACAGGAGCTACACAGGAGGTATATGTAGAACTTTCAGACAGAGAGAGAGGAAGTGGGATATGAAACAAGCAATGCAAGAGGTACCAGGAATATGGGAGGAAATGGAAGATACAAGACGAAAGAGAGGTAACTACACATGACAGAACATAGATTAATATGAATGAGTTAATTTAAGTTGTAACAGCTAGTTAGGAACAAGCTTAAGCTGTAAGCCCAGCTTTCATAATTAACATTAAGTCTCTGTGTTATTTGTGGCCTGGTAGTCCAAAGAAAAGTCCATCTACACACAAGAAGAAAACAGCCAAAATTTTGGAATAAGCCAGCTAATTTGGCACTAATGAAATAGAAACATTTTAAGCCAAAGCAACATCTTCAACACTCTAAGGGAATTAGAAGGAGAGCTATTACTAAAGAATAAGGGTTGTTTTGTTAGGATTTCTATTGCTTTGAAGGGACACCATGACCATGGCAACTCTTTTTTCTTTCTTTCTTTTTTTTCTTTTTTTTTTTTTTCTGCCCAGGGATGACATATTTATTATACACCTCTGTTGAGGAGCGTTTTTTAGTGTTTTTGTTTGTTAGTTTATTTTGTTTTGGTTTTTTTTGTAACTTCTTTATTGATTCTTTGGGAGTTTCACATCATGTACCCCAATTCTGCTCACCTCCTGGTCCCCCCATATCCTCACTTCATCCCTAAAGTACCCCCCACAAAAGAGAACAAAACAAAGTAAGTAAGCAAGCAAGCAAA